CTACATCAGACATTCAAAACCCAAAAAATCTGCTATCCCAGCCTGGTTAGCCCCCTAAAAACTCTGATACCCCATAATTAAATACAATGGCGCTGTGGCCACAGAGCCTAGGACTTGCAGATCAGAAGGTTGGCGGTTCGAATCCCCGTGACGGGGTGAGCTCCCGTTGCTCTCTCCCTGCTCCTGCCAACCTAGCAGTTCAAAAGCACCTCAAAGTGCAAGTAGATAAATAGCTACCGCTCTGGTGGGAAGGTAAACGGTGTTTCCGTGCGCTGCTCTGGTTCGCCAGAAGCGGCTTAGTCATGCTGGCCACATGACCCAGAAGCTGTACGCCGGCTCCCTCAGCCAATAAAGTGAGATGAGCGCCACAACCACAGAGTCGTCTGCGACTGGACCTAATGGTCAGGGGTCCCTTTATCTTTACCTTTACTTCCGTAGAGACTACCTTACACTGCGTTTAAAACCAAAATCGCATTTGGATAGAAACTGTTCCTCAGGCGGCTAGTCCTAGTCTTTATAACCCTGTACCTTCTTCCAGAAGGCAGAAGCTGAAAGAGATCATTTCCGGGGTGCGCACTATCCTGCGCTATCTCTGCCGCTTTCTTATGGCACCTGGCAGCATAGATTTGATCCAAGGTGGGAAGAGTGCACCCAATTATTCTCTCCACAGTCTTTACAACCCTGGACAGCATTGTTTTTCCCCTGACCGTGCAGCTCCCAAACCACACACACAGACCATAAGTTAATACACTCTCAACAGTACAATGCCATCAACAGGTCCTTTGAGAGATTGTTTTTCTGGGGGATTCTCAGAAAATATAACCTCTGCTGTGCTCTCTTCATCAGATCCTTGCTGTTTTCTCCCCAGGTTAGGTCAACTGTCTGTCCAAAAAAACTGAACTGTAACAGAGCAAAAGCGTCATTTGCCCTCTTGCACGCTTCAGTTTCTCAGTACGTTTTTGGAGTCAACCCAGAAAAGTTAGGAAACGTCTGTTGTTCCGCTCCAACTTGAGCACTCTGGACAGCTCCCCACATGGCGAGCAAGAACAGAAGAAGCGGCCGGGCTCCTTTCTTTCACGGGAAAGGATGAAATGTCTAAAAATAATGGCTCACCCACAATTCCCTTTGTTCCACAATTTCTTCCATTTGTCTCATGGTTATTAGACCTAGGCAGAGAGAGAGGTGTTATGTCTGAATCGGGACAGAGTGTTTTCCATGCAGTCCTTTCCAGTTTGATATCTTCTATCCAGGGGATTAGAAATGGAGGCAGTGAGAGATTATACTTTCTTGGGCTCCATGATCACTGCAGATGGGGACAGCAGTCATGAAATTAAAAGACGCCTGCTTCTTGGGAGAAAAGCAATGACAAACCTAGACAGCATCTTAAAAAGCAGAGACATCACCTTGTCAACAAAGGTCCTTATAGTTCAAGCTATGGTTTTCCCAGTAGTGAAGTATGGAAGTGAGAGCTGGACCATAAAGAAGGCTGATCACCGAATAATGGATGCTTTTGAATTATGGTGCTGGAGGAGACTCTTGAGAGTCCCATGGACTGCAAGAAGATCCAACCTCTCCATTCTGAAGGAAATCAGCCCTGAGTGCTCACTGGAAGGACAGATCCTGAAGCTGAGGCTCCAAGACTTTGGCCACCTCATGAGAAGAGAAGACTCCCTGGAAAAGACCCTGATGTTGGGAAAGATGGAGGGCACAAGGAGAACGGGACGACAGAAGACGAGATGGTTGGACAGTGTTCTTGAAGCTACCAGCATGAGTTTGACCAAACTGTGGGAGGCAGTGGAAGACAGGAGTGCCTGGCGTGCTCTGGTCCAGGGGGTCACGAAGAGGCGGACATGACTAAACAACAACAACATCCAGGGGATTAACTTAGGTTGGCTCTAGGCGGGTTTCAAATGAGTTTTTGCATTCATGGAACAAGATTTTCTCCTCCCTTTGTGTGTTGCCACAACCCCTAAATCTGCTCTGGAGCAACTGGGAGAATTTCCAGCGCAGGTTTATGGTGTACACAGTGAGAAAAGAGGAAGGGAAAGCTCTATTTGGGGGGATTTTATTGGGCTGGTTTTGTTTTTATTATGTATTTTATGTTTTTATATTGTGATTTTAAGTTGTAACCGCCCTGAGACCCTGCAGGTATAGGGCAGTATAAAAATTTAATAAATAATATTAAAGTCCAATCCATGCTGGAAATGTGATAAAGTTGAAGGGACAATGATCCATGTTTGGTGGGGCTGCAGAAAGACCAAGAAATTCTGGGGTATCATACACCAGAAATAAAAAAAAAGATGCTTAAAATCTCTATAGAAAAGAGACCAGAGGCATATTTATTAGGTATATTAGGGAAGGATATCCCACAGGAAAAGAAAAGAATCTTTCTATATGCTATGGCAGCCGCCAGAATAGTCCTCGCCAGTAAATGGAAAGGTGATATAATACCTACAAAAGAAGACTGGATATGTAAATTAAGTGAATTTATAGAATTGGCAAAGTTAACAGCTGTCATAAGGCTTCAGACAAATCAAAAATTAAGATTAGAATGGCAATGCTTTGAGGACTATATGGGAAAACACTGTTCTAATGCAGGGAAAACGCAGCCTCATTTTAAGAGAGTATGTTGATATGCATGGATTAAGTTTGTAAAGTTTAAATGAAAATAATAATAACTAGAAATGGTAAGAGATGTACTATCCAAAGAATGCAATGCTAATATTTATTTTATAACAAGGAAGTCAAATTGTGGTGGAGGGAAGTCACGGGAGGGGGTATATAGGGTTTATGTTTCTATTGTAGGGTATATATGTATTTTTTGTTTAAGTTTGTGATAGTGTTTGTCTTATTTTGTTTTTTGAGTTTTTTATTAATATTTTCTCTAAAAAGTTTTAAAAATAGAATTTTAATAATAATAATAATAATAATAATAATAAGCAATTAGACCCGGGTTTGACGTTTGTTCTGATTCAGCAGTCAACCATGGGTTTCCCCAGGGAAAACAGTGGGGCAAGATTAAAAAAAACCTCTCAGACCTGTGCCTAGAAGTCACAGGACAAGTGGAAGTGTGGGTGAAGTTGCTGATGTGCGAAGGGGAGACTCTGGGGAAAATCCTGCAGGGGGGAGGAAGTGGACCCCAAAAGCACTGCTGGCTAGGATGGCCTTACCGGATCTCTCATGACATCGGCCTTTGCTAGTGCACATCTGCATGCAAGAATTGAACAGACTTTGCACCATGCTCATTCCTTTATTGAGTTGCATGCTTTACAGAATCAAAGAAGAAATCGTTACAAAATTAGCAAACACGATCACATCATCCTCTTCAGTGGCATCCCAACCCAACACTGACAGGAGCGAGACTCTGCCAGCATGGAACACCAGGGCCCAGAGACCTGAACTGCTTGCCCATTTTCTACCAGGCCAAGTTCAAGGAAAATAATAATAATAATAATAATAATAATAATAATAATTTATACCCCGCCCTCCCCAGCCATAGCCGGGCTCAGGGCGGCTAACACCAATAAAATTACAATAAAAACATAACAGGAAAAATAAAATAAAGCAATTTAAAATACAGGTTAAAATGCAATTTAAAATGCAGCCTCATTTCAAAAGTAGCCCATAGGTCAAAACCGTAAGGAGAGGGGAACATAAGAGTCAGACTGAGTCCAAACCAGAGGCCAGGAGGAACAGATATAAAGCCTTTGTCACTTGAGACCAGGATTTTCTTACCCCACAAACACCCACTGGGCCACATTGATCTGCAGAACTGGTTCTGTTACAGCTGCCACGCCATGCCTGCTTCATGTGTAAGAAATCAAACTTTTAGAGTGGCAGCCCCTGCACTTTGGAACTCCTTGCCTCTTGAAATCATGGAAGCACCTTCACTGTATTCTTTCGAGCAGCTGCTAAAAACATTTTTCCATAGGCAGGCCTACCCAGACATGTAGAACATTGGCATGTTTCAATCTGTTATTAGTGTATCATTGATTTTAATTATTTTAGAATGTTTTACATAACTGTTTTTTACTGATACTTTTTTTTTGCCATTTGCCTCTTTCTTTCTTTCTTTCTTTCTTTCTTTCTTTCTTTCTTTCTTTGTCATCAAATTCATATTACATGTTAGTTACCATAAGGTTTCAACCTTATACATAGCATATGATGTATTTAATTACAAATTCCCCACACCTAACCCTATACCCAAATACCCATTTGACTTCCTTCACCCACATATATGATATCAAACTCATTTCTTGAAATTCTAATATTGCATTCATTCACCTATTAAAAATATCTGTTCTTAACTTAATGGGTTCAGTCAATATTGGCATGTGTTTTAATCTGTTATCAGCGTATCATTGGTTTTAATTATTTTTGAATGTTTTACATAACTGTTTTTTACTGATACTTTTATATCCTTTCTGAAGGTTCTGTTTTGTTTTTACAATCAAGCAGAATATAAATCTTACGAAACGATTAAAATAAAAAACACAGAGCCCAACCAGTTGCGATCCTGTTTGTAAAGGAGCTTGTGAGGATGGTGGGGTGGAGGTGCTGATAATTGTGTTCGCTTTTTGACAGCACATGTGCGGAACTGTGCCATCAAAATCCCCTTTCTGACGATTATGGAAGAGTTCTGCAGACAGTCCCTCCATCAAAGCTAGAGGCCAAAGCCGTTGGCATTCATTTGTCAAGACGCTGTTTCCTGAAATTTAGCAATGGTCAGCCTAACTGCATTGAAAATAAAAGTGAATGATTGAGTACAATGTAAAAAGAAACCTTCCCCATCAAAACTGGCAAATAATGCTTTGGTGTATTGTTTGGTGTAATCTTTTGGGCCATAATTTGACTGGCTTCTACAAAAGATTTCACCTAGAAGTTATTCTTCTCTTCCCTTGCCCTTTTCCTTCTTTTCTTTCCCGTTCTCTTCCCCTTTTCCTATCCCTCCCTCCCTCCTTTCCTTTCCTTTCCTTTCCTTTCCTTTCCTTTCCCCCCCTCCCTCCCTCCTTTCCTTTCCTTTCCTTCCCCTTCCCCTTCCCCTTCCTGTGGAAGGAAGGAAGAACTGTGGAAGGAAGGAAGGAAGGAAGGAAGGAAGGAAGGGAGGAAGGGGAAAATGGGAAAATGGGAAAGGAAAGGAAAGGGAAAAGGGGACGGGGAAGGGGAAGGGTGGCACTGTGGTCTAAACCACAGAGCCTAGGGCTTGCCGATCAGAAGGTCAGCCGTTCAAATCCCTGTGACAGGGTGAGCTCCCGTTGCTCGGTCCCAGCTCCCTTGAACCTGGCAGTCCGAAAGCACATCAGTGCAGGTAGATAGATAGGTACTACTGCAGCGGGAAGGTAAACAGCATTTCTGTGCACTCTGGTTTCTGTCATGGTGTCCTGTTGCGCCAGAAGCGGTTTAGACCCTGCTGACACATGACCTGGAAAGCTGTACACCGGCTCCCTCGGCCTGAAGCGAGATGAGCGCCACATCCCATAGTCCCCTTTGACTGGGCATAACCATCCAGGGGTCCTTTACCTCTAAATAGGTAAAGGGACCCCTGACCGTTATGTCCAGTCACGGATGACTCTGGGGTTGCGGCGCTCATCTCGCTTTACTGGCCGAGGGAGCCGGCGTACAGCTTCCGGGTCATGTGGCCAGCATGACTAAACCACTTCTGGCGAACCAGAGCAGCGCACGGAAACGCCATTCACCTTCCCACCAGAGTGGTACCTATTGATCTACTTGCACTTTGACGTGCTTTCGAACTGCTAGGTTGGCAAGAGCAGGGACCGAGCAACGGGAGCTCACCCCGTCGCGGGGATTTGAACCACGACCTTCCGATTGGTTTAACCCACAGCGCCACCCTTCCCCTTCCCTTCCTTTCCTTTTCCTTTTCCCCCTTCCTTCCTTCCTTCCTTCCTTCCTTCCTTCCTTCCTTCCACAGTCCTTGAGTTGCCAGCCTCCTTGATCCAGCCCCGCACCATCCCCCCCCCAGCTCCCACAAACTGGGGCACTGAGGTGTAAAATTAACACTGCAGCAAAAAAGGGGGTCTGCTCCTGCCCCCTCCCTGGCCCACATCGCAGGCTTATCCATCAGAACCTGACAGGCCAAAATGGTGGGTTGGTGGGTTTTTCCGCTAATTCGTTTGTGTTTATTCTTGGTGTTAATGAGTCCTCTCCTGCAACCCAATAATAAGTCCATTAGCTGCAAATTGTGGCAAGAAAACACCCTCGTGCATTTATCGCCAAGGCTACAAATCTCTGTTAGTCCTAATTAAAACAACTGCTCAGCCTTTAATTAAGTCATCTTTTTTCCTTCCTCCTCCTCTCAAACAAAATCATTGCGCATCAGGCACAAACAGCAGAGCTTAAGTGGAGCTGGAGGGGGTGTCACCCAGCAGAGCCCCCCCCCCCCGAATGTTTCTGAGCCAAGTGCAGAGTGCTTTTCTCACCAGTTAATAGCGCGTCCTCCAATCATTCAGTACTGAAGGGCAAGGCATCATCATCACCATGATCGTCAGTAATATTTATATACTGCTTAATATTCAAAATCCCTAAGCAGTTTAAGTAAAACGCAGTAAGATCATTAGGAAAAAGGAAAAAGAAATGTATATGCAGCATTTAAACAAAAAAAATAATCAGTAAAAACAGAGAAGCTATCAGTTTTATGCAGTTAAATATCAGTAAATAATAAAACAGACCAATGTGGTGAATCTTATGAGGCCAGAAATGGATGCTTAAATAGGTAGGTCTTCGATTCATAGAATCTATGGATTTGAAGGGACCACGAGGGTCATCTTGTCCAACCCTCTGCAATGCAGGAATCATTTCCCCAAAAAGGGGGCTTGAACTCACAACCTTGAGATTAAGAGTCTCGTGTTCTTACCAACTTTATTTTTTTAAAATATTTTTTATTAGCAATTTCAACATAACAATTCATCAGAAACACATCACTCTCGTTTTTCCTCCCCATTTTCCCCTCCCCCCCTCCCCAAGAAAGAAAAATCCACACCCCAACACCCCCGCCCTGACTTCACTCAGTTCCCCTCTCTGGTTTTTCCACAGACGTTATTCTCTGCATATTATAAAATTGTAAAGATCCTTAATTTATCTCTCTATATGTTACCAATAAAAAGTTTGTGAGTGTTTGTTCAAAACCTGCCAAGCAGTCCAATTCATTTTGTTGTTTCTTTAATTACTTTGCGAAAGGTTCCCATTCTTCTTTAAAGTCACAGTTGTCCTTATCGCGTAGTTTTATGTGTCAGTTTCGCCAATTCCACATAGTCCAACAGTTTCTCTTGCCACAGTTCTTTGGTCGGGATTTCTTCGTTCTTCCATCCTTGTGCTATTAAGACTCTTGCCACCATTGTTGCATACATAAAGATGTTTTTCAATTTCCCTGGCAGTGTTCTTACCAGCTTTAAAGCTTGCAACTGTTTCTGCCTCATGTTTGGCCTTTGGCCGTGTTGACTGGGGCAGGTGAGACCCCAACAGCAGCTGGAGGGCAAAGGGTCCCCATATCTTGTTTAAAAGATCAACCCAGTGCTTGTAAGACGGAGATATTTTTCCCAGGCAGATGTGAGCACCTGTCTCACTCACACATGGAGAAGTGCAGATCGCGGGATACATTATGCATTTGTGCATAAAAATGCCGCTTGCTCCCCTTCCTTTTTTCTGTTTTGCCTAAGCCCAGAGGTTCCCCAAACATTTGGTGGTCTGCTATATTGATTTCCTTCCCTTTGGACCCATCAGTGAGACCAGGAGGGAGGGTCTTGACATCTGAGCAGCCCAGGACCTCCATACACGCTGCCCAGCCTTGCACCCCAGATGATGATGATGATGATGATGATGATGCAAAAGAAGAATGGCAGATGAAATTAATGGACTACGCAGAATTAAACAAAATGACAGGACGGATTCGAAACCTGCGGTACCAGAGATTTATAGAAGATTGGAAGAAATATACGAATTATTTGAAGAGCAACTGTAATCAACAAATTGCACTAGTAGGACTACAAGAAGCTTTGTAAGGAGGAATATATATATGAGATATTGCAAAGAAGAGAAAGAAGAGAGATATTAGTTATGATATTAAAATGTAATAGTGAAAGTAAGAAATGGAAATTAGGTGGAAAATTGGAAAATTTTCAATGTGATTGATGGAAGTAAAAAAAATTGTGTAAGATATAAAAGTATGTTTAATAATTGTTGAAAATGTTATGTTAAAAAAACTAATAATAATAATAATAATAAAGATTATGATGTTGTTGATGATGATGGTGATTTATTTATACCCCCCCCCCCATCTGGCTGGGTTTCCCCAGCCACTCTGGGTGGTTCCCAACAGAATTAAAAGCACAATAGAACATCAAACATTAAAGACTTCCCTAAACAGGGCTGCCTTCAGATGTCTTCTAAAAGTCAGATAGTTATTTTCCCCCCTTGACATCTGAAGGGAGGGTGTTCCACAGGCAGGGTGCCACTACCAAGAAGGCCCTCTGCCTGCACCACTCTGGCAAGACAGTCCACGGGCAGGTGGGGTCTCAGCCTGCATACCAGATGGAGCTGGTAAACAGCTGCCCTGGATACAGAATTGTCCTCCATGGACAGCTGTGAGTGACTCCCAGGCTGTGCACCTGGTTCTTCAGGGGCACAGTGACCCCATTCAGGACCAGGGAGTCCCCCACACCTGCCCGCCCCCTGTCCTCCAAAAACAGTACTTCTGTCTTGTCAGGATTCAACCTCAACCCGTTAGCCGCCATCCACTCCTCCAACCGCCTCCAGGCACTCACACAGGACCTTCACCGCCTTCACTGGTTCTGATTTAAAAGAGAGGTAGAGCTGGGTGTCATCAGAGAGGTCTCTTTGATACTGCAAACACGGCAAAAGCAGCAGGGCAGACAGCTGTTATAGATTAGAATGCCTTGGCCAAGCTGAAACTGCAGGAACAGATGCTGTTATTATGAGGGTTATGACCTATAAAGCCCTACACGGCTTAGGTCCAGGATATCTGAAGACTGTATCCTCCCATACAGACCTGTCCAGGCTCCAAGAACTTTGGGGGAAGCCCTTCTCTTGTTCCTGCCACTCTCTCAGGAATGTTTCATGGGGACGTGGGACAGGCTCTTCTAGGTGGTGGCCACTTCAAGGCAACTTTGGAACTCCCTCCTTAGAGAAGCCAGACTGACTCCCTCCTTGTTCTCCCTCTACCAGCAGACAAAGCCTCTTTTATTCTACCAGGCCTATTTTTTAAGGAAACGGTATTTAAATAGTTCTGTGCTGGTTTTATTATCTGTATTCTAATATAATATTTATATTTGTTCCAATAGTGTTTTGTTGCTTTTTAACTATTATCTTTTATACTGTTGCGAACTGCAACCCACATCAGTCCCATCCAGCACAGCTTGGAGGGCACTAGCTTGCACTGTAGAGTGTTGTGCCAGACGATCCTTTGCGTACCTTCCAACTCTGCAATTCTATGATTCTAGGTAAGTAAAGACTACAACAGGTTGGCTTTGGGTGTCTTATGGCCTCAGCTGGTCATTCTCCTCCACCCCCAGCCGAGAGATCTCTCTTTCTGGTTTCCTGGCTCAGCCACTTTCTTTCTTTCTTTTTTTTACAAAACAAAAATACTTTAATACCTTTAAAATCCAATTTCTTTTAAAATCATTCATGAAAAAAGGTTTGAGTCAGAGTTCACACCTCAATTAGTCAATAATAATAATAATAATAATAATAATAATAATAATAATAATAAATTTTATTCATAGCCCGCCCTCCCCAGCTGAAGCCGGGCTCAGAGCGGCTAACAACAGTAAAATGATAAAACATTATAAAATCATTTCATTGTAAAATTAATTCCAATCAGATTAATGGCAACCATTGAGCTAGAGTTCTGTAAGGATTGCCAAAGGAGGGGGTCAGACTGTGCCTTGGCCAAAAGCCTGGCAGAACAGCTCCATCTTGCAGGCCCTACGGAAAGATGTCAAGTCCCGCAGGGCCCTGGTCTTTTGTGACAGAGCGTTCCACCAGATCGGAGCCACAGCTGAAAAAGCCCTGGCTCTGGTTGAGGCCAGCCTAACCTCCCTGTGGCCTGGTACCTCCAAGATGTTTTGTTTGAAGACCAT